AAGTAACCCACAGCACAAACATCCCCCATCCATGGGGGGCTTCTTGGTACCACAATATGTGGAAGATGGAGGTTTCCCCAGCATTCCAGTGACATGTCTACCCTTGGGGAAACGCAAAAACTGAAGGGTCTGGCTAGAGGTGGGTCTTTTAAATGGAATATAGTGACATGTTTTTTGCTGGAAGGGAGGAGCCTCCATCTCTTGCATGCTGTCGTGGAAGACAACAAAGGGAAAATTAGTTATCAGATAAGAACTCTGGTTTTCCTGCATCATCCTGTAGGACGGTTAACTGGAGAGATTAGCAACAGTTTACCTGCGGTGGGACTACAGCCTGAAGTACTTTCCATCCAGAGGCCTAGTCTTGGCCCAAGAGGATGCTGTTTCTACAGTGCTTCACAAAGGGGTTAAAACTAGAACATGTGGTGGTGCTACATATCAGCTTCACTGAATCACTGGCTCTGCCCAGGGCATGGAAAGAGACCTGGTGACGTGTGCTGTGATATTCAGAAGACAAATCCCTCCTGCTGAAGCATAAGTTGCAGCTATAATCATTTAGAGCCATTGGGCGATGGATGCCTTAGATGCCCTTTTAGAGTGGATTTCCTGAGATCCTTGGTGTGCTTGAAAGATACATCTCTACTTCTCTCCGTGTAGAGCAGGGGTAGCCAAACTCCGGCCCTCCAGCTGTGGTGGAACTACAAATCCCACAAGGCATTCAAGATTCTCACAGCCTTAGACATGACTTCCGGAGAGAGATGCATCATGGAATTTGTAGTTTCACCACAGCTGGAGGGCCGGAGTTTTGCTACCCCTGGGGTAGAGGGATCTCGGCAAAAAGATGGTAGAAAAATTGTTTGGGTTCTGTAGAAACTAGAGCCTAAGCAACTTCAGCAAGAATGCAGGGTCTGTTTTGAGAATTACTTAGTTCTGAAGTAGTGTTACAAAAGGTTCCTTCACAGAGAAGGCATAGAGTTCTTAGATTTAACAAGCAGATGTGATGGTAATAAGGGGAAGCTAGCTTTAGGTTCAGATACTTAGCAGCTGCCTCTTTCAATGGATTCGAAAGTTTAGGCAATCCAAAACTAACGAGAGGTCCCAAGGAGGTACTGTTAGGCCTCACGGTAGCTTAAAGGAGACATGCGGGAGAGTAAAACAGACTTTCTCTGCTTTTGTTTTTGCCAGTGTGGGACACTGCAGCTGTGACATGCTGGCTCCAACACCAAGAGCTGAGTGATCACATGACTGCTGATTGGTCAACTCGGGTCAATCTCTACTGGGAGAAGAAACAATCTTCACTGCATTGTTAAGTCTCATAAAAAAATCTTCAGGAAGCAGCCCTAACTTTTTATCCATAAATAATAATAAATAAAATGTAGCCAATAAAGGACGAAAAATGGGTAGATTTGGGTGCAGACTTTAGCATCATCATTATGTGTCCTGTGCCAGCTTCTGGAACCCTGAGCAACACCCTAAACCCTCTCCAAGAGTGTGGAAACACAAGCCCAGCACAAAGATGTGTCTACCAGGGTACACTTGCATGTTCTGCATCAGGACACCTTCACCAACCCAAAGTTGGGCAGCAGGGACATGGCAGGAATACCCCCCCCCCAGATCACAATAGTGACATGGGGCTAGCTGGCAGAACCGGCCCACAAGATGCCAGAAAAACACTTAAAAACCGAGGAAAACTGCAGCTCATGAAGAGCTAGAATTAACATTTTTAATTTGCAGGTAGTTCTTTAAAGTGACTATAAATCTTCTTTAGCTAGTGACAAAATATGCAGAATGTTTCTCTCCCCCTACCATAAACTCAAAAAGGCAGTAAATAAATGTCTCTCTACAAATTAAGTTATAGTTTGGCAGACTATACATCTTAGTCGGATACGCAGTAATATCAATATCAGATGTAAAGCAATGTGATAACTTGTATTGTATTATGTCTTGTGACTGACCGCTGCTTACACTGCTAAGACCGGTCCCTTCATGCTGTGTCAACTAGTATAGGCACTTTAAAAAATAAATTACTATCAAATCTATTGTATCTATATATTTATGTGTTTATAACTGAAAAATTTAAAACAAATGCTGAATCTTATATTAAACCTGTTGTAAGTAAATAAATGACATGATCAATAATTATAGTATGAATTGAAGTCTTTTACAATACTGAGTATTGGTAGGGAATAAAACATTTCAAAGGGTTATTTTCATACATTTTTTTTACATGAATGTGAATTAAAAATTAATGAATTAACTATCATTAAAAATTGAATGTAAATTAAAAATACAATTTAAGAGGACATATTGCTTTCTTATGTATACCAATAAATATATTACAACTGAACCAATCTGCTGTAATCAGAAAACAAATGTACCCATCAGAGCACATGGACGATCACCGAGATGATTGGTAAGTGCATGTTTATGTAAGCAGAACAGTTTAATCATTCAATTTCAACCAACTTTGAATTGCAAAAACAACTGAACAGAGAGATTGACACAGCCAATTGAAGCTGCAAAAGACCTGAAACTGTTGACGAAGGGATGTGGCTTTTATTATTTGAAAGATAATGGCAATTTAAAAGTGTATTCATCCTTAAGGCTCCTTTAAAAAGGTGA